ACTCTCCCAAAGTCCTACAACTCTCCACTCCCTAAGGTTGTCTGGAAAGATCACAACTGAAACCACTTAGTGGGGACAACAATAATAGAACCGACTTTCCTCTTGGGAGGGGCTTTCACTTCCTCTTGGGATCTCCTCCTCGTAGCCCAGTCGGCTGGGGTTTTGGAGTCTCTTTTTGTAGGAGACAGAGACTTGAGGCTCAGATGCTTAAATCTGGGGCGGTGGGAGCTGGGTCAGCCCCTGCCATGCCGGTTCACGCTTGTCCCATCCCGCATGCCTCTTGTCCCACCCTGCTCCCTAGGACAATGCGGTACCCCACTGCAAGTCACATAAAACCAGCTTTCTGCCTTTTCAAAATGAGGAACAGAGGTGCAGGCCAGAATTTACTTGGTATAGTGTTTGGAGGCTCTATTCCAACCCTGGCTGTGTGGCCCCAGGGAAAGTTGGTGGCCCTCCCTGACCCTAGCAGGAGGTCTTTCTATTCCTGGGATTGTAGCAGAGGTAAGGTGGGTGCAAACGTCTCATTTCTGAGGGATATAACAAGAGTGGAGAGAGGCCCCGGAATCACACTTTGGCTCCTGGTCCTGCCACAGGCAACAGGCACCCCGCTTCCTGCCAATCAAGGCTCTGGGGTTAGCCCAGGCTTGAACAAGTCTCTTCCCCCCACCCCCACTATTGCAGGTCACTTACTCACTCAACAAACATTTATTGAACAGGTGGGTGGAGGGAGATGGATACATACACTAGTTCTGTGACAGTACCCTGCATGTCAGGGAAAGGAAGTCCCACTGTGGGTGAGCTCCAGGAGGAGGTGGCCTTTGCGAAGGGCGCAGAGCCTCGGTGAAACTTTGAGAGGTGAAGAGGGGATGGCATCCGAGGCAGAGGGCGCAGCTCAAGCAAAGGCCCAGAGGCAGATTACCTCAGAGTGTTTCTGCGGCCAGTGGTGTAGTGTGTGAGGCTGGAGAGTGCAGATGTGGACGACATGATTGGAGGGTAGGTTGGGCCAGATGTGAAGGGCCTCGAATGGCAGGTGGAGAGCTCGCCTTGCCCCTGAGGTATTTCAGCGGGACAGGCCCATGCACACAGCTCCCAGAAGGCTCCCTTTGGCTCCACGGCTCCCCTCATCATCACAGCAGCCCCGTGAGGTCTGGGAGGTGATTCGTGCTTTCAAAGAAACAGAAACTGAAGCCCCACCAAAGGGAACTAAAGTGCCCACAGTTCCAGAGCTAGGGGGCATTGTGAAGGCAGAGCAGCCGACAAGATGGCCGGGTCAGTTTTTCCATCTCTAAAATGGACACATTGGGAGGGCCCTTCCCAATCAGGCACTCTGCTCTCTGCTCCCCACCCCCCGGCCACCAAGATCCTAGGCCCAGACAGGACACCCGTTGAAAGGTCATGCCTGTGCCTTGACATTTTCTAAAAGTCCCCCTGTCCTAACACCCCTACCTCACCCCATCCCACCTCAGGGGAGTCTGGCCCTGCCCTCCCTGGGCTCCCTCATGCTAGACACTGCTCATCTGTCATTAGTCACCAGCTGGTAGAAAAATTGAGGCCTTCAAATGTCCTATTATGGTCCCACCCACTGCTGCCCTGCCCTCACCCCTCCTCCTAGCTCAGCCATCCAGGGCCATCTCTGGCCTGGAGGTCCCTTGCCCTTGGGGAATGGCAGAGCCCAGCCATGTCCTGGGAGCCCAGCTGTGCTGTGTGACCTCAGGCGGTTTACCCAACCTCTCCAAACCTTATTCTTTTCTTCCTTTCCTTCCTTCTTTCCATTCTTCCTTCAGCTCTCTCTGACTCATCCGTCTCTCTCTCTCCTGCCACAAACATTTATTGAACCTACACCAGACACCATGGCTCAGGAGCATGGACCACTGCCTTTGGAGGCCTCACTTGCCAAGAGCTGTAGGACTGAACATAACCCAGTCCCCTGAGACCCCCACCCCTGGGGGCCGGGATGGGACATGACTGCTCTCTGAACCATGGGAGAGCCAGCACAGGCTTTTGAATCAAGCCCGGTTCCAAGCCCCCGTTTCCTGACTGTGTGACCCTGGGCAAGTCACTTCACTGTTCTGAGCCCCAGTTTCCTTATTGAACAAAATGACAGAAGCCATATTGTGAGGTTTAAATGCCACATCTGGCTGGTAAAGGGTTATTCAAAAGTTCTAAAACTTGACCTTTGTCTCTACCTCGAGCCTTGGAGATCCATATGGAGGCAAAGGACTGATCTCTCTAATGGTGGGGGTTAGGCATCAGTCAGTGACCCCAGGTATAGGACTCACCTGGGATGCAGGGAGTTCTTCTGAGCACCTCTACCCCAACTGTCCTACGTGGTCTGCAACCTGCTTTACTTATACATCAGACTGTCCCTGTTCGGGGGGAGGGGAGTCCTGATTCTTGATGGCATCATCATTAAGTAGTTTTAGGTAATGTTTTTTGAGCACTTACTACTGTGCCTGGTACTGAACAGACATCATCTCTAATCCCCAGAGGTGGCGGGTCGTGGGGGGTCCTTATTATACCCATTTTGTAGAGGAGGAAACTGAGGCTCAGAGAAGTCTAGTAATTGCCCAGAGTCACACAGCCAAGAGTGACCTCAAATGCTCCCCATCCAACCATTGCACAGCACTTCTCCTGCATGGGATGACGAAGGACCAGCCTCCACTCTTCGAGGACCTGGAGTGGATTATCACCCTCTCTGGGCCCCTGTTTTTCCTTTAATAAAATGGAATTTTGAATCCTTACGTGTCCAGTAAGGTAAAGTAAGGCAGAGTTTCCCAGCCCCTCTGAACGGATAGGAAAACTGAAACCCAGAGTAGGGTGGGGGTGGGGCATGTCTTTAGGCCCAGCCTGGGCCCTGGCCCCCCCCCCCTGCCATTTCCTGGAAGCCAGTCCTGACCCCGACTGACCCTCGATTGCTCAAGCGACTGCATCACTCAGGTGATCACGGTTCTCTGGAAAGGGGAGAGGAAGGAAGCAGAGATAGCTGTGGGGACAGGCCTGGTGTCTGGAACAACCTGGTGGGTATTCTAATAAGACTCATGTGGGTTCCTGTGCCCTAGGGAGTTAGTTCCCAGAGGTTACAAGGGAAACAAGCAGTAAGTAAAGAAGAAGCTAGCATTTCCAAATGGAAAAGAATGGACAAAAGCAAAATCCACCCTTTCAACCAGGGCAGGGCCAACCCTTGTTGAACCATAACAGCCTACAGAGCTCTTTCTGCAGAACCTGACTGTCCCTAGGCCTCCTGTCCTTCAGGGCCAGGTTTGGAGACACTGGCATCTTTGTTCCAAAACTCAGGGACCCAGGTTGTCAAGTGCTCATTACATCCTTGGTGGTCCACTTCAGTCATTCTGGTAGACTCTCACTCCAGGCCTGTAAGGGAGGAACACTCACCCCCATTTTGCAGAAGAGAAACTGAGGCCCGGAGAGCCAAAATACCCACATGTGTCACATGGCTGGTCACGGTCAGAGTGGGAACTCAAAACCGAGTTTCTTGACTAATGTCCACTCGCCCTGCTTCTTCCTCTGAGCTCTTGCCAGCTGCAGGAAACGGTTTTTACAACATCTGTATAATGGGGGGCAATTACAAGTTTCGCTCCTAGTGTTACTTATATTTTACAGGTCAGCACTGTTATGAGTTTGTTCATCAAGACCCCAGGCAGGACCCATTGGGCCCAGGGACAAGCATCCATGGAAGCAACATGGGTTTATTCCTTGCATTGTGTTACACAGGAATGGGAACGAAGACCAGTGTGGTAGCCCAGATCCATCAACAGATACGGAACTCATTCCAGAAAAAGACTGGGGGAGACCTACAGGCCCCGGTCTCTCCAGGGACCCTCTCCGCTCAGGCCTCATGTAAGATGTGTCGGAGGCTCTGGGGAACCAGAGAGACCAGGATGGGCACAGCTAGGGTGCTGGGTTCCCAGGGTCAGAGGCTGAATCCCTGGAAGTTCAGGCTTTGGTCTCTTCTGGAACACAGGGGATCCGCAAGGAAGCTCAGTGGAGGGAGAGGGGGAGAAGGGAGGGAGGGATGGGTGGGTGAGTGGATTGATGGATGGATGGATGGATGATGAGGGGGACAGAGGGTTGGATGGGAGGGGCAAATTATCAGAGCTGGTCTACAGGAAGAGGTGGGGGTGTATCTGTTTGTGGGCATATTGGCATGTCTGCACATGAGCCCGTGTCTGCATGTGTCCGTGTGTCTATGGGCACTCCAACCTGCTTTTGTGTCCACACCTGACGACGTGTGTGTGTGTGTGTGTGTGGTCGGTCCATGTGCGTGCAGGAGCTGGCTACATCCGGACACCTGCTGGTCTGTGGGTGGCTTGGGCTGAGGACCTGTCCGTGTGTGTCTGGCTGTATCAATGTCCTGGCGTGTGTTGGTGATTTGTGTGTGTGTGTGTGTGTGTGTGTGTGTGTGTTGGTGATTTTAATCTGATTTTGTATCCATGTCACTGGTTCTCTGTGTCCAGGTTCATCTGCTGTATCTGTTGGAGTGTCTGTGTCACTGGGTGCCCATGTCCCAATGTCTCTGATTGTGTCTGTGTCTGCTTCATCTGTATCTGAGTGTGAGTGTGTGTGTGTGTGTGTGTGAGTGTGTGTGTGTTCTCCATCCGGGGCAGACCTGACTGTGGATCCGTGTCTGTGAGTCCAGGTAAGCTGTGTCCTGGTGAAGCTCTGTGTCTGTACCTGCCTGTGTCTATTTCTGCGCCTCCACGTCTCTGTTACCCAAAATCTGATTAGGTGTCCAGGTGTGTCTGTGGGTCCTGGTCTCCTTGTGTAGCCCGGTCCGTTGCTGTCCCAGCCTTGATGTCTGTCCGCTCCCGCAGGGGGCGCCCTTGCCCAGCAGCTGTTCCCTCCCTCCCTCGGGCTCCTGCCCCTGGGGGCACCCTAACTGAGCGGAGAGCGGTCCCAGACTGGGCAAAGGTGGCCCCACCAGGTCCCCGCCTTCCAGCACGGCCCCGCCCCCTGCCGCCCAAAGCGGGCTATAAGTTCACAGCTCTCTCAGCTGCGGCAGTGCTTGCCTTCAGTGGTCGCACTTGGAGGGTGCAGCCACCATTCGGAGGAGGAGTCACTGCCACCACCTGACTATGGCCGAGGGTGAGTATCAGGCTGCCACCACTCGGACGCCCCGCCCCTGGCCTTCCCTCCCTGGTCTCAGGGGTCCTGCCTGGGAAACACCTGGCCAGGGGCTGCTCAGCCCCTAAGTAGCCCAGTTTGGGAGCAGCAGGAAGGCTGGGCTGGGTAAGGAGTGCCTGGCTCCCAGTCCTGGCCCAGCTTGGGCCTTTTACTTTCCCCATCCCCAGGGCATGATCATTAACCCCTGCCTCCCTGGATCAGATGAGGCAATGGAACGTGAAGATGTGTTGTAAACTGTAATGTACTGGGCTAGTGGACCATTGTCACTTGTCCTCAGTCAGATAGTGGGGATGGGTCCCATGAGGCTGTGCAGAAGGGTCTGGCCTGGCCTCAGAACGCTTAGTTTTGGTTAGTCCCTGCCAGCTGGAGAGGCGTGCTCATTCTCCCTAGTGGTGCCTGGGAGACTGCTTGCGTCCGGGGCCAGAGAACAGGTTCCAGCACCCTTCGAGGGACTGGCTTGCTAGCAGACGGGTTCTCTAAGATCCCTCCAGCCCTCAGATTCTGAAACTCTGGTCTTGGGCCACTTGCTGACCCTTAGTTTCCCCTCCAGTAAAATGGACAGCCCTGCAGGTCTTGGTACCTCCATGGGGGCCAAGAGTAGTAGAGAAGGGATCTGACCAATTTCTTACCTGCTCCTCCCACTACACACGCGCGCACTCACACGTACACAGTGGCAGTGCTTCTGTCTCAGGGAAAGGATTTCTGCAATGGGGGATGTCAGTGCCCAAATGCGCTGTACACCTGTCCCGGTTAACTCTTGGGTCAAGTCCACTTGAAATGGCCTCGGCACACTGCAGCCCCTGGACAAAGGTGTGGGGAGAGGGAATGTGAAGAGGGAGGCGGGGCGCGTGGAAAAGGGAAGAGAGGGAAAAACCCGTGGACCTGCCTGACTCGCAGTGTGACCTCAGGCCACCTTAGTCCCTATCTGGGATCTGGCTCCCCAACATAGGGGCTCGAAAGGCTGGCTGTCATGGGTGACCTAGGTGGCTGCTTGTCTACAATGCATTTTCCCATCCTTGTCCCCAAGAGAGGCTCCGTGGGGCTAGGTTACCCTGGAGGTGCTGACTGTATGAGTCACCTGCCCTAGTGACTCGGTGGCTACTTCCTACAGGGGTCCCACTGGCCTGGAAGACTGTAGCTCCTTTCTCAGCACAGAAATCCTAGGATCCTAGAACTCAGTGTTTCTGCGCCTTTGGAGCTGGTCATGATTTCTGGCAATCCTTCTTCAGACCATAGCCCAAGAAGGCACCCCACCTGCCCCAACCCAGAAACTGACCATCTCACGATGTTTGCGGGGACGGGGGGAGGGGGGTGGTCTCTTAACCACTTAAGCTTTCTGGAATAGAAGTTTCCAAAAACAATGTTTCCTTACCTCAGCAGGCCAGCAGGAAGCTCTTTCTGGTGGCTCGGAGGTCTCTCCCGCTGTGACTGCAGAGGGGTTCAGCTTCCTCAGGCCTCCTCCCATGCTCAGAACAACACAGGAGTGGGAGGCAAAGGAAGGAAGGAGTGGGGGGATGGTGAGCAAACCCTGAGCTGTGAGTGAGGTGGTTTCCAGCGCAGGCTTCAGACTCCACAGCCCTGGATTCAAATCCCTACACTGGTGCTTGCCGTTGGACCTGGGACCACAGAATATTTCCTTGTGCACCGGGGAGCTGGTGATAGTATCCTTGTGGGTGGAGAGGCTATGAGCTTTAAGTAGAGATAAGCCATGTCAGGGTCCTCCCTCAGCAGTCACCAGGCACTGTGGGATCTTCCACGGCAAAAGTCAGGGGACCTGAGTCAATGTGTCCGTGGAAGTACCCATTTGCTGGATGACTTTGGGCAAATCCCTGCCCTTGGCCTCACTCAGTTGGACCACGTACTCTCCAAAGACCCCACAATGCTGAGAGTCTACCTTGCTCACTCTCCCCATGCTATGGTCTTCCTAATCGTGACCTTGAGCTTGCCAAGATTTATGAGGTTTGCACTTCCCTCAGACCTCCACCACCCCTGCCTCCGCCCCGGTCTTCAACTCCCTCCAAAACTATAAATAGAGCTTTCACATAACAGACTTCTGCCCTGGTCCAGGCCTTGGGGAAGGGGTGCCCAGCATTCTCTCCTAGTCCTCACAGGAGACTTCTGAGACTTCAGAGGAGGTCCAGAGAGGGAGAGAGACCTGCTCAGGATAACACAACAGGACCAAAATGGAAGTCCAGAAGACTCCAGACCCCCTGCATTTAAAAAAAAAAAAAAAAAAAAAAAGTTTTTATTATGGAGAATACTGAACGTACATCAAAGTAGAGAGAAGTTTAGAAGAGTTTTTAAAAAATAAGGATCCACATAGGCCGAAATGTCTCTTAAGTTTCTCTTAACTTATAGTTTCTCCCCTCAATGATTTTTTTTTCCTTTGCAATTTATTTGTTAAGGATCCTCCTCCTGTTGTTTCCCAGAGTGTGTGTTTCTGTCAATTGCATCCTGGTTCTCTGTTGAACATGTTCCTCAGTCCTCCATATTTCTTATAAATTGAAAATTGAAACTAAAAGGCCAAGCCTGTGTAAATAACCTACGCCAAATACTGCTCTCCCCCCCTTCATTTTTAACAAAAGGACCCTTTCATAAGGACAGAACAGCTTGCGTTGAAGAAAGAAGGTGATGGGCAAGGCACCAGGCTGAGGGGTTCGCAATGGTCCTGGGGACAGATGAGGAAGGTGACACCTGGAAAGGGGACTTGCCTGAAGTCACACTGCTGGAAGGTGGCAGAGATCTCCCCCACGTGCCACAGTGGGCATGACCTTGTGATTGAGAGTTGGGGAAATATGGCCCGGTTAGCCCCAGGGTGGCGGGGCGGGGTGGGGGTTTGGGAGGGGGTAGGACAGGTAGGCATTATTTAGAGAGGGCTGACTCCCAGATGACCCTGGGGGTCCCCACATCCAGGGAGCCCCGGGGTCACAGCCAGCTGAGGGAGGCCACCACGGCTCACACCCCTCCCACTGTCTCCATAGATCTGGTTCTGAAGAATTGTGACCTGGAGCTGGAGGTCAATGGCCGTGACCACCACACAGCTGACCTGTGCCGGGAGAAGCTGGTGGTACGGCGGGGCCAGCCCTTCTGGCTGACCCTGCACTTCGAGGGCCGAAGTTATGAGGCCAGCGTGGACAGCCTCACCTTCAGTGCGGTGACCGGTGAGTCCCTCCACCATCCCCTTGCCCTGACCTGTTTTGTGATTTCATGGCCCCCTGACAAAGGGGCATGGGGCTCCATTCCTTTTTGCTCCCTGAGGAGTTCTTAGCAGCCACTAGCTCCATTTTACAGATGAGGTAATTGAGGCCCAGAGTGTGGAGGGGGTAATGCCCCAGGCCACCCAGCCTCATAAACAAGTGGGCTGGACACCCGGGTTCCGAAAACCCATTATCACCAAGGAGTGGGGCTCAGCTTCCGACCACAATGGTCTATCAAGGTCCGGCCCGCTCTTCCCTACATCAAAACAGCTTTCAACTCTTATCAACAGCTACTTCCCCAAATCCACATAACCCAACCAGGCCTCTGGCTCTGGCCCACGTTGGGTATATCTGGGTGGTAGAGAGAACCTAGCAGGCTCCGTCTCTCTGAGAGGACAATTTTGTGTTCCCATAATTCCTTCTCCAGGCCTTGGTAGGTTGCCTCAGGCTTGGGGGCTGACAGACCTGGATTCTGGTACAGACTAAACTGCCCACCCGCTGTGTGACCTTGGACAAGTTGCTTAGCCTCTCTGTGCTTAAGTTTTATCCTGTGCAAAGTACTCACGGTGGAGGGTTGTTAGGGCAGAAGGGCCTGACATGGGAGATTGCCTTGTAGATGTTAGCAGCTGTCGCTGCACTTGCTCCGGGGCTGGGGTGGGGAAGGGGTGGTTCCAGCGATGGGTGAAGGGACAGTGAGGCCCCAGCCACCCTATCCCCGATGCCCAGTGCCCAGTCTTCTTGGTTTGCCATTCCTGAGAAAGGAGCTTTGAATGCCGAATCTCTGGATTGGGCTTTGGATGGGAACCACTCCCTTGAGGTCAGCTAGGGGCCGCCTGGCTGGGACTAGGCTGGAGGGTGAGAAAGGCCAGTTCTTTCTGAGACCTGCAAGGGCCGAGAGAGCAACAAACAGGCTCAGGCCTGTATTTACCTGGCAGCCCTTTGATAAGGCTTATCGCTGAGCCTGCAGACTGGCCACGGATATCCACCCCATGCCTTTCCTCCCTCTCCCTCCCCTTCTGGCAGGGATACACCCACTCTCCAGGGCTGGCCCCCCTCACAGACAGCCAGCAGCTTCAGGGCCCATTTTAACTGACCCGAGGAGCCTCCAGGAGCCTCTGATCTTTTCAGCCTCAGTTTCCCTCTCTATAAAGTGGAACGCTGTGGTGCATAACAGGATACCCTGAGAAGAGTCAGGCTTGGGATGATGAGAATCACAGCACCTACAGAGCACCTGCTGTATGCATGCTCGTCCTAAATCCTCCCATCTTGGAAGCATAAGGAGACCCCATTTTACGGATGAAAATACTGAGGCTCAGAAAGGTTGAGTTACCTGCCCAGGTTACATAGTGAGTTAGGGACAAAACAGGATTCAAACCCCGCCCCCAGCGTTGAAGTTTTCCTTGCTGCAAGCTGACAGCAGGCACATTGACCTACTTACCATGAGGGCCAGCCAGCCAGGCCTGTTTGTTCCTCTGTGAAATGGAATGGTCGAGGAGTTGCCAGTGGGAGCTACCTGTGACTTCCACCTTCTTTCGCTTCTTTCACTCTGAAGGCATTCCCTTTCTTCTTCTCCCTGCATCTAGGCAGCCTGCGGCTCGGTAGTTAGGCCCTAAATTAAGGGTTGGGTGACCAGCTGCTCTTCCACCCTAGCAACTCAACTCTGTTCTCCAGTCTCCACCGGCTTATCTCAGACGCAAGCCAGTCTGCCCTGATCACCTCCAGAGCCCCGGCGGGCAGTCTGGGAAGACATTCCCTCTCTGGAGGCAACACAGCTTCCATGTCTGAGTTACCAAGAACTCTCATGGAGTGGGGAAGCCTGAGGGACAATACCAGGAAGCTGGGTCTTTCACCTCAAAGCCTGGCTTGGATTAGCACCCAGCCTCGGGCCTGGCCTGGCCACCCTGCTCTGGTGCCAGAACATTCTAGCTTGTAATCAGCCTGTACTACCTCTTTAGGGAAACTGAGGCCCAGATAGGGGAGAGCACTGGCGAAGGTAGCTCAGTGAGCAGAGTGTGTGGCCTGACCCTGTATAGACCGAGATGCTGTGTATTTTGCCCAGAAGGTTGGAGACCTGGCAGGCTCTGTTATGGGGAACAGACCACAAGAGACAAACATCGAGACTGAGGTCAGTATAAAGAACCTTCATGAGGCTGATAGAGGGCTTTCCTCCAGAAGGTTTCCCTCATCCACTCCCCCAACCCCACACCAACCGTGGTCTAGGAGAGTCCCCAGGACTCCTGAATTTCCAGGTCATTTAGGCCCAGGGGGGTCCCTGAAACATCTCTGGGCGCACAAACAGCACCACGTGGAGCGGCAGCCAGTGCATTTTCCGAGCTGGCTTATGTGAGCTTATGTGAGCCGTGGTGGGGCAGCCTGTCCTCATGCCCCCTGCCCAGGGCCCCTTGGAAGAAAGGTGTGTGTGTGTGTGTGTGTGTGTGTGTGCGTGTGCATGGCTGCCCCAGGATAGAGAGAAGGGGGAATGTGTTTCCTGACCTGTCCTTGAGGGTCAGGAATGACAGTGGCCGTGGGACCCAGCCCGGGCTGTTACCAGGGTGACCAGATCATTGATTCTCCAAACAGGGACATTTCTGAGAATGAAGGAACACCATTAAGAATTAAGCTGGGGCCACGTCTGTAAACAGGGACTGTCCCAGGCAGACTAGGCCATGTGGTCCCCCTGACTTGGTCCCTTTCAGACTCAGTTTCCCTCTCTGTAAAGTGATTCAGCTGAACAAGGTAATCTCTGCATTTCACTCCAGTCCCCCAAATCTGTGGTTTGGCTTGCAGATTCTGACTTTTAATGGTCCTTTTTGGTGACGCAGAGGAACGCTCGCGTATCCTGTGTAATTACTGTTTTAGTCACTATTTGGAATGCTTCCTACGAAGTCTCTGAACTGCGTTAGGACATGGGAGTGATGGTAACAAAAAACAGTCGTTTACTGAGCACTTACTTTGTGCCAGACACTGTGCAATGTACCTCCACTTTTTTAAACTTTATAGTGACCTTATAAAGAGGTATTTGTAACTGCCTGTAATTGACCCTATTTTATAGATGAGCAAATCGAGGCACAGAGAAGCTAAGTAGCTTGTCCAAGGTCACAGAGCCAGTTTGAGACCTAGAATCAGACCTTCCCAGGCATGTGGTCTAAGCCTGTTTTCTTCTTTGATGAAGAAAATTGCCGATCAGAGAGGCCTGTTGACTTAGTCCGGGTCACACAGTGCTCAGAGCCTGGGCAGGAGAACCAGACCCCGGCGGCCTCCCGGGGACCCAGTGAGGCCCCACTGCTCGGGAGCATTTAAAGGCTTACAGCCAACTCCTGGCACCCAGACAGGGCCCCGGAGGCCTGTGTCATGCCTGTTAGCTCATGGTTATATTTGGGCCCGGGCATGGGTGGGGCTGGAGGGTTGGGAGGAAGGCCGGAGTGCGGAGAGGGAACCCCTCAGGGAATAGGCCCCCATATTGTCCGCAGCAGGTGGGCCGGGCTACACGGAGAGAGATGGAAGAATAAATATAAACTTTTCTGGGCATCTGCCCAACTAGGCAGAGAAGGTTCTGTTTCTCCTCTCGGCCACCCAAGTCCAGAAAGGATGACCAGCCCCTCCTCGCCCTCCCATGACTCAGACCTGCCTGCAGAGGCAGGGCCTTCCTCAAGCAGCCAAGCTTGAGGCCGGCCCCCTCTCTCACCGAGCCTTCAAGACCCCTAGAAGGAAGCACGGGAATGAGAGGCGCCGTGGAGGACAGCCCAGAGCCTAGAGACCTAGGCTCGGACGCTAACTCTGCCCCAGACCCCTGGTGCTATCCTTGGGAGACCCTTCTTTCTCTGAGCCTCAGTTTTCCTACCTGTACAAGGGGTCTCAGGGGAAGCAGGAAGTGCCAAGGCTGTGGGCTGGGAAGGGGACGGTGATGACGCCTGCTTGGAGCTGCCTATGGAGACACAGAGGTCAAAAGTTGGAGGGAGCTGGCGGGAGACAAACACCTAAAGGCTGGACGGGCCAACACCCCACAGCAAGGGGCCTCTCAGATGGGCTTCCGCGGGGACATCGGAGGACCGAGGTCCTATCCTGCTCAGAGTCTGAGCTGCTTCTTCTGAAAGGGAAAGCTGCTTCCTAGCAGGGAAAGCATTCAGGTGGGAAAGGGGATGGTCCCAAAGGATTCCTGTTTGTGCTACGGGTGGACACGTGGAGCCCAGAGAGGGGGAGGGTCTTGTGCACAGTCATGGCCGCCCAGGCAGCCTGACTGAGACCCTGTCCCGGGTGGAGCTGTCCCCTCTCCCAGGAGAAATCCGTCTGGTGCCTGTGGCTCTTTCCAAATTCTCGCAAAAGCACCCCGCCAGGCTGGGGTCCGATCCTCACTTTTGTAGAGGAGGAAACCAAGTCGTAGGGAGATGACCTCTTGCCAAGGTTTCCTCAACAGTCAGCAGCGGTCAGCAGTGGAACCAGGCCTCCAACCCCGGCCCACGGGACACCCCCTGGCCTGCGCCCGGCCCCTCTGCCCACATCTGGCTCACGGCCACGGCCTTTTCCCCATCAGGCCCAGCCCCCAGCGAGGAGGCCGGGACCAAGGCCCGCTTCCCGCTGTCCAGTGCCGCGGACGAGGGCACCTGGACGGCCGTGGTGATGGACCAGCAGGACGGCGTCCTCTCGCTGCAGCTCAGCACCCCGGCGAACGCCCCTGTTGGCCTGTACCGCCTCACCCTGGAGGCCTCCACCGGCTACCAGGGCTCCAGCTTCGTGCTGGGCCACTTCACTCTGCTTTTCAACACCTGGTGCCCAGGTGAGCCGTGCTCTCGGTGGAGGGGGGGACGCGGGGAGCTGGGCAGGGCTGGACCACCCATGGGCGCCACGCACAGTGGTGAGGGGGGATGGGGCCGAAGATGGAGGGAAGGCCTCTGGGCGGCGCCCGTGCTCCCGCCTCACAGGAACCTGGTGGTGTCCTGTTGCCCACCCCCCGCATGTCATACAGGAAGAGACGGGCACTTGGAAGCAAAATGCCTTGCCCGAGGCCACACAGCTGCCAAGCGACCTCACCCGGCATCTGAGGCGCATGTATTCCCCGAGCCCCATGACCTGGGCGTGCAGGTGTCTGGGGTTCACAGTCCCAGTCAAGAATGGGGTGCCCAGGGGATGCCCGGGGCCACGGCTCCACGCCTGGTTCTGGTTCCTGGGGCTCTGTTTGAAATTTCACCAGACCGACTTGGGGAGGGGAAACTGAGGGAGACAGAGGCGGAGGTGGAGGGGGGCCGGAAGCGGTGGGCAGGAGCAGTTTGGTGACCTACGTGCCTCCTCAATGCTTCATCTCAACAATCCCAACTGGGAGACTGTCAGTGTCCCCACAGGGCTCGGAGAGGTCTAGTGGCTTCTGGAAGTTCCTCAGTAAGTGGACAATGCTGACAAAACTAGCAGGCTGGCTCAAGGAGGAAGGGGGTGGCAGCCCCGGCCTCAGTTTCCCTCTCGGACTAACAGTGCAGTCAGAACTGTCTCCTTCTTGCTCCTGCATAGTGAGACAGAGAGACAAGCCTTGTGGGTGGGCTCCAGCCTAGGAATGGGGTGTCCTTCCTCAGAGCTGGCACCCAGCCACAAGTTCTGGCCTCTCCAGCTCCAGACAACCAACTCCTTACTGGGACGCTGCTTTATATTTTTCTTCTCTATTTTGGGGCATTTTATAACATAGTTGAGAGGATTTTTTATTTTCTCTTTTATATATTTTGGCTTGTATTTTTACTTATCGCAGTAAGACATGAGGATGTCCTCTTCCTATAAGCTTTAAGCACTGTAGGGAAACAGCTCCCACTTTGACTCTCCTTGGGGAGCGGGATTATTAGCTGTCTTGGGGGACTCATCTCCTTAGATTCCGGTGTATATGTCTGGAGACACTGCTACCTTAATGGGTTTCTGCGTCCCTCTTAAACACAAAAGGATCCCACAGTACACATCAGCCTACGACTTATTTAACGTTTCCACTCCACCGCACATCCTGACGACCTCTCCACGTCGGTGTGCATACACATCTTTTTTTTTTTTTTTAAAGATTTTATTTATTTCTTTATTTGAGAAAGAGGGAGAGAACACAAGCCGGGGGGGCGGTGTGGCAGAGGGGGAGCCAGAGGGAGAAGCAGGCTCCCCGATGAGCAGGGAGCACGATGCGGGGCTCTATCTCAGGACCCTAGGATCATGACCCGAGCCCAAAGTAGATGCTTAACCAAGCCAACCAGGCGCCCCAGCTTTTTCTTTTTAAGAGCTCAGAGTGCCCTGTATCTAGCCAATGTGGATCCTTCATTGATCTGGCCCTCTACCCCGGGGAAATGAGGTCGTCCCCAGGGCATCCTTACAGGAAGGGTATCTATGAAGCACCCTTGTTCACACGACCTGGGGCCACATGGAATGGTTTCTCGGGACAGAAGCGGCCTTGCCAGACCCCACTGTAGACTTGTTTGGATTTTGTCAATCTACAGAGCTTACGGCTAGTAGGCCACCTGGCCCAGGGAGGAGGAAGAGGCCAGTGTCCCCTGCTGCTCACCAACATGGCAGGGTTTCAGAGCTCAGGGAACAGGGAATGAGGTTCTGGGGATGTCCCCTTCCTCTGGCCTTTCCTCCAGCCCTGTTCCATCCCTGCCCTGTGGGTTGGGGTGGCTGTCAGCCAAACAGCACAGTGACTAAAGTGACCCACATCCCAGGGTGGGAACCTGGAGCGGGGCGGAGGAGCTGGAGATGCAGAGGCAGGAAGTTGGGTTCTGTGGGGGTGGGGCTGCTGGGTGGGAACACTGCTGTCCCTCTGGGACCTGCCCCTGAAACCAGAGCCTTCCACCCCTAGCTCAGTGAGGACAGGAGGATAGGAGGGAGCGAGCATGAAGTATGGGCGGGACCTCTTGTCCCCAAGGCGGCCACCTTGACCAGCAGAGCTCGGGGGAGGGCACAGTCTCTGCCACCTGGGTCAGGGTGGGGACAACACTCTCACCCCAATGACAAAACACTGTGGGTTTTTCTTTCTCTTTTATTCTTTCTCCTGCACCATCAGCTGACTATAGTTCATTTGCTGGAAGGCTGATTTTTATCTGTGGGGGTGGGTAGCCACAGTGCAAGTTCTAGAAGGCGAAAGATGCTCGGCCAGTTCCACATTTACTTTGCTCTGTGCCATAAGAGGGGGCCCGCAGATGGGCCTGATGGAGTCTGGAGGCGCAAGGGCCCTGAGCAGCTGTGTTCCAGGCCAGTGCCACTGTATTTTTAGGGACCCATAAAAATATTTTAATTTCTTTTAAAATCAGAAGAAAAAAAAGAAAGTTTAGGTCAGAGAATATGTTTTAATATGTAATATTAATATATTTGTCATCATACCAGTGCAGTCATAAAATTTATTATTATTATTATTATTATTATTACTGTTATTATTATTTTTTTTTACAGAAGAAGGGGCCCACTGAAGTAAAAATGCCTAAGGCCCACCAAAATCACAAAGTGGCTCTGAATTTCCTCTTTCCAGCCTCAGTTTCTTCACCTATGAAGTGGGGGATGGTAAAGGCCAGCTTGATCTTTGACCTTCTGCCATCTGACCCTGCTGGTCCCAATCCTCTTTTCTGTGGTTGCCAGCCATGGGGAGCTAAGTGCCATCCCAGCAGTTGTCCCTGTCCTGTCTCTGGTCCTCTGCTTAGGAAGTCATTCTGCCAGACTCCGAGTATCTAAATCTTAGTCATTTCTCAAGGTAGCAATCACAAGCCACCGCCTCTAGAGTGCCCTCCCTGACCACCTCCCCCCCCCACTGGACAGGACCCCACTTCCCCTGAGCCCCAGTGACCCTAGTAGTCTTTCTCTCTACCTTGAATCGAGCTCCTTCTCACACTGGCTCAGGGCTTAGCTTGCAAAGCCCCTTTGCAAGTCTGCATCCCATGTCACGCTCAGGGAAGACAGAGAGGGGGACAAAGAAGGAGACGTGATCTCCCCAAGGTCATACAACAAGTGAGGTTCAACTAGGAGATTCCTGACTCCTGTGCTCCTCTATCTCTTGGGTGGGCATCAGTTTTCCTACCTGTAAAATGGTCTTTCAAGGTCCCTTTCTCATCGCACTCTTGCAGAAATTAAATGTAACACTGGTAACACTAGCCAAGAACACCTCATCTCATGGGTATGGGATTATTAATGAATGATTAGCTTTTCTGATTCAAAGATAGAAGGACCTCTGAGACTCTGACCTGGCCCTGGGTCTTGGCCCCCTGGCTGCCGTGTCTTTGGGGACCCTGCAACCTGCCAGACCCAGAGCTGAGGTCTCCTCCTTCCCGCCCCCAGCGGATGCTGTGTACCTGGACTCAGAGGAGGAGCGGGAGGAGTATGTGCTCACCCAGCAAGGCTTCATCTACCAGGGCTCGGTCAAGTGCATCAAAAGCATACCTTGGAACTTTGGGCAGGTAGGGCCACATCCTGTCCTTCCCAACTGCTGCAGGCCCACTGGTTATGGGGCCTTGGGTCTGAGGAGGTCAAAGCTGCAGATATGTGTGCTGGTCTCTGAGCTGGCCTCCCCATGCTGTCAGGGATTCAAGGGCCCTGAGTGGCTGGAGGATCAGGGGAGGGGTCCAGGCCAAGCCTGACTTCCTACAGCAAAGGGTTACCCTACCCACTGTGGGAACAGCAGCCCCAGATTCAAAGTGGAACAAGAATCAGGAGAGCCTTTGGGAATTGTGGGGCTGGCAGGTGCTCCAGGAGGGAGAAAGGGAATATTCCAGGCCATATACCAAAATGATAGAAATGCTATTATGTGTGCTGAGAGGAGGTTTTATACTATTACCTAGATCAGTGGCTTTCAAACTTGAATGTATCTATAATCACCAGAAATGTGTGTTAAAATGCAGATCAGGGAGTCCCGCCCCTAGTTTCTGGCTTAGTAGGTCTGGGTGTGGGCTGAGAATTTGCATTTTGACAAGTTCCCAGGCAATGCTGATGCTGCTGATCAGTGGTTATAGTTTGCGAACCACTACCTGTATCAGTTAGCTACTGCTGAATAACAAACAAGCCCAAAATGTACAGGCTTGAAACAACACCTGTTTATTATTACTTACAAATCTATGGGTCAGCTGGGGCGTGGCTGCCTAGCCTGGGCTTGGCTGACCTCTGCCAGATGGCACATCTCTGTTCCATGTGGTTCCTTGTCCCCCAGCAAGTCAGCCCAGGCTGGTCGTTCGAAGTAGGGCTCTTATTTCCTCTGCCATCCAGCCTCCCATGACAATTCTTGAGACAGTGCTGAGAAAACTAATAAATCAAGAGTCGTCACGCTTCTTCCTGGCCCTGGTGTGTTGGGGGGTATTGGCCTTTTGGGTCAAGGTTCACCATGAGACTTTTTCCCAACAGCCCCTGGGGTAGGATTTCCATATGCAGGCCCCCAGAGTCCTGCCCTGGGACCACAGGGAAGTCTTCCCTGTGTGGTATGGGGCTCTTGCCTCACTTTCCCCATCTGAGTACTGGGGATACTAATTGCAAGAATATCTGCCCAAGAACCTATCGCCCGCTCTGGGATGTACATGAAATGGTGGTGTGTGGGGGAGGGGTACAAAAAAATACATCATAAAGTCAATTGGCTCTTATTTCCCAGTGATCTGTATTCCCCCCTGAGAAACAGAACAAAGCCAAGTCCTTCCTTTCATTCCCCGAGTTCCTGTTCTGTGTCCAGGCTTGTGCTGAGCCATTGAATGCAGCCCTCGTGAATCTTCAAGAATCTTCAGGAAGCCATCACAATCCAGAGTGATAAGACTGAGAGGAAGGAAGTGAATAACTGTGGATGGGAATCAGGGCGATTCCTGTCGTAGGCAAGATCTGAGCTGGGCAATGGAGGAGGTGGAAACATGGTATACAAGGCAGAAGGAACTGTCTGAGCAAAAGCTCAGAGGTGGGAGTTTATGTTGTGCTTAAGAAGAATTCTGTAGCTCAGGGAGTGCTTTATGTCTGAAGGAGTCCCAAGAGATGAAGTGGGAGAAGTCACCAATGTCCGGGTTGTGAATGTCAGGCATATGGCAATAGAGAGCCACAAAATGGCTCAAAGCCGTTGAAGCCTGGTTTGGGACAAGACGGCAGAGGTGAGTAACAGGTCACTGTTACTGGTCAGAGTGGTCAGAGACGTAGTCCAGTGTAATGGGACAAGGAGGGAGGGCCCTACTTTTGATAATGGTAACATTTGAGTTGCAAGGATAAGAAGGTGTGAGCCACACAGAGAGTGGCAGGAAGAGCATTCCAAGCAAAGGAAACAGTAAGTACAAAGGCCCTGGGGCAATGAGTGGTGATAATGAGGTCAGAGATGGGGTGAAACACAGATTGTGAAGGGCCTTCCTTGCAGGTCACAGGGAAAAGTCTAGATTTTATTCTAGGTGCAGTGGAAACAGAGGAGATAATTTACCTCCGTTCCAATCAGAATAGTGTATTGGGGTGGAAGGGGTTGGGGGGTAGAGAGGATTCTCATCAGCTATGCAGGATGAGTCAGGCCTTAGGGGAAATGAGATATTTGGCACAGCAGAGATGGGAAAGGGGCAGTGGCAGGGCCTGAGGTGACTCTGAGGAGAGGGAAGCCCTGGGGACACTGTGGTTTATACTCCATGTTCCCAGGACTCCCTCACCCCCCAGCTAGGCCCTGAATGCAGGCACATCCCTTCCTCTTTCTCACAAACTCAGTCATTGTTGTCCCCCCTCCTCCACCCCATCCTGGGCCAGGAAGATCTGGCATCACAGAGATGGGGCAGATCCAGCCCAGACTTCCCTAATGTGTGAGATGAAACAGGACCTATAGCTGCAGGACTGCAAGGCAGGCTTCCTGGAGGAGGTGGCTTCTCATTTCCTGCATCTTTCTCTTGTTTTTCCCAACACAGTTTGAAGATGGGATCCTGGACATTTGCTTGACGCTCCTGGACATGAACCCCAAGTTCCTGAAGGATGCCTGCCGTGACTGCTCCCGCCGGAGCAGTCCTGTCTACATGGGCCGGGTGGTGAGTGCCATGGTGAGTGAGGGGCTGCGCCCCACCACAGGGTCGGGGCCCATTGTGGGTCCTAGTAGGGCCTCCCACCTTCCCATGATGATGGAGGCCACACTCCACACTGGGTTTGGTTGGGGGGACCCAGGAGATGGGGAAGTCTCAGCTGAGAGAGCTTGTATTTGGAAAGACAAGATTTACACAAATAGAGGTAATGTCATGTGGTCCCTAAAAGCAATTCATCTATTAATTCACTCATTCAGCAAATATTTATTAGGTGTCACCTGTGTCCTAGGCACTGGAGAAACAGGTAGGCGTAAGGCATGTATGGTCTCTAACTTCATAGAGCTTATATTCTCATGGGTGGGTGGGTGGGAGGAAACAGACATTGACAGAAACACTGCGGGAATGTGTCATAATCAGAAATGATGATGCAGGGCGCCTGGGTGGCTCAGTGGGTTGAGCCGCTGCCTTCGGCTCAGGTCATGGTCTTAGGTCCTGGGATCGAGTCCCGCATCGGGCTCTTTGCTCAGCAGGGAGCCTGTTTCCCTCTCTCTCTCTCTCTCTCTCTGCCTACCTCTCCATCCACTTGTGATCTCTCTCTGTCAAATAAATAAATAAAATCTTAAAAAAAAAAAAAAAGAAAAGAAAAGAAATGATGATGCAGGCACCGAAGGAAGCCAGAGGTGTGAGAGTGTCTAATTGCAGAGTCCAGCTTCAGGGAGAGGCTGGGGGTGGGGGGCGGGGACCTCCGTAATTGATGATCCCTAAGCTGATATAGTAAGTGGGAGAAGAGTATTCCAGGGAGAGGGCACAGTATGTACAAAGGCCCTGAGGCGGGAACAACTTTGGCAGGTTCAAGGAGCAGAAAGGAGGCTGGTGGGCTGGGGTGGAGTGAGCGGGGAGGAGTGGGGTGCAGGAGGTGGGCAGAGGTGAGACCATGCAGGCCTCATGGGCCACAGTCAGGAGGCTCGATTTTATTCTCAAGGCAATGGGAGGGTGAGGGAAACGACTCAATCCAGGCAGGGGCCGGAGGGGGTCTTCATAAAACTCAGATCACATCTTGTCACCCTCCTGCCACCCCATGGACAAATTCACACCACCAGTATCACCTTCATGACCTTGACCCCTCGCCACCTCCTCCCTTCTTCTCCTTCTCTCTCCCACATGTCGGGCTCCAGCCCCAACCATCTCCCACATACCAGCCCGTCACACCTTGGTATCTTTGCATGGGCTGTTCCCTCTCCTAAATTCCTTTCCCTGCCTTTCACCACGTACTGAACTCACAGCACTTGCTCCCCAGGCTCGGTCCCTCTGATGCCCTGCTGGTTGTAGGTCAACTGCAATGATGACCAGGGTGTGCTGCTGGGACGCTGGGACAACGATTACAAGGATGGTGTCAGCCCCATGTTCTGGATTGGCAGTGTGGACATCCTGCGGCGCTGGAAGACCTCGGGCTGCCAGCGTGTCAAGTACGGCCAGTGCTGGGTCTTCGCTGCTGTGGCCTGCACAGGTGAGTGGCATCCTGGGCAAGGGTGGTGGTGGCGGCGGGGGGGTGGGGGTGGCTGGAATCTGCTCACAGCCTCCCTGAGCTCTGGGGGAGTGCAGAGAGAGCTCTCAAGTGGGAATCAGGAGACCCCAGTTCTGGTCCTGTCTCTGCCTCCGACACCACCAACATACTGTGAGGCCTGGAGTCGGCAGCTGCCCCTCTCTGGCCCTTTTTCCAACAACTATCCTGCAGGTGGTTATTAGGATCAAGGGATGTCATGTGGGAGGCAGCCTGGGCTCAGAGTTGAGAAGATGGGCTTTGGGGCCAGACACCCCTGAATTTAAAATCCCCGGTAACATTTACCTGCTCTGTGACCTTGAGCAGATGACTTCCTTCTGAACCTCAGTTTCCTCGTCTGTAAAATGGGGGCAAGAGGACCTTCATCCTGGGGTGGGTTGGTAGAAAACTGCTCAGCACAGAATTGAGCCCAGTGCAGCTCTCAGTAAATATTAGCTCTTACTAATTTAATAGTAACAGTCATATCAATGTCAAGAAAGGGAAAGCACTTTCTGAAATACAGATTAGGCAAGAGAAAGCAATTTAAAACTAAATGGAAAATAAATCTTTAAAAAAAATCTTAAAAATTCGAGCCCAGAAAATGGCGAAAATTATTCTGGGCTGGGGATGGCACGTATGAGAATGGGTCAGTATCCTGTACCAGTTAAAAACACAGACTCCAGAGTCAAGGCCCGATTCCCAGTCCCAGCTCTGCTCCTTACCACTGTGTCCCAGGTAATCACTGAGCCTCTCTGAGGCTCAGCTCTGTTACGGGGAACCGGACCTAAGAACAGTGCCTTTACCCTGGGGCGGTTGTGAGGATAACTATGAAGGGCTGGAAATGATTTCAGATGCATAACAGCGAATACTTACCTCCTGCTGCTAGATTATTCTTATTAAGATGACTACCACTGCTATTATCATTTATTTATTTATTTATTTATTAAAGATTTTATTTATTTTTTTGACAGACAAAGATCACAAGTAGGCAGAGAGGCAGGCAGAGAGAGAGGGGGAAACAGACTCCCCGCTAAGCAGAGATCCCGATGCAGGGCTCGATCCCAGGACCCTGAGATCATGACCCGAGCTGAAGGCAGAGGCTTTAGCCCACTGAGCCACCCAGGCGCCCCTGCTATTATCATTTATTAGGCTTGGGAAATCTAAGAGTCTGGTCCTGAATCGCAGCTTCTCTGACTCCGGGGACCAGGACCCAGGCCTAGGGGAGGGGCCTCCGGGCATCCCGGAGCTGTCTTCTACCCCAGCAGTCTGGGTAGGGGTGGTGCCGCCTGGGCTCCCCACAGAGCTGTCTCTGCTCCCACTTCCCCATGGCCCAACCACCCATGCCTGCCTGCTTCTGGGACCTGAGCATTCCCTTTTCTTGGGCAAACTCCCTGTCCCAGACCTTCCTCTGAGGGGCCTTAAATGCCTCCTGAGAACCCCACGTGTTTTCTGGAGACCCACCACCATCTGTGGCCTGGGTCCCTGAGCTCACCTGCAGGCACCTCCCTCCCCCGGGGCTGTGACCTCCAGAGGTCTTGCTCAAGACCCCTCTTTCCCCAAGGCCAGGGCTGAGTCTGGCTCCCTGCAGCCTTCTCCCAGGCCTGGTGCTGGACAGAGTCAGGGAGAAGTGGCCCCGAGGAGCAGCGGGAACGTCCTGCTGAACTGGCCCAGGGACTCTGGTGTCCCGCTGCCTGTTTTGAATATCAGCGCTTTCGCCAGCCCCTGGGTGGACTTGGGCAAGAGAACTGGGGTCTCCAAGCCTTTCTCCTCACCTATGAAGTGGACACAGCAGTGATGAAATAATTCCCAGGGAGATGTCTTCACCCAGTGTCTGGTTCAGCTTAGACTTGAGTTTGTGGATTCCAGAGGAAGTTGGGATTTCTCAGCCGGATCCTGGAGCATTTCAAAATGTCTGAGAGTCATTTGACTGGATGGGCGGTGACTGGATGGGCATTTGCAGTGACACTGGCAGTGACGGGCACCTGTGGCACCCTGCCCTTCTGCCCTGGGCACAGGGCAGACGAGACTGCCCACACCCACTGCCTCTCTGAATCACCGCCACAGCCCAGAAAGTCGCTATTATTAGCTCCTCTTAGAAGAGGAAATTGAATCTCAGAGACCGGAAGTGGTTGCCTGAGGTCACACAGCTGGGGAGCAACGAGGCCAAGCTTGAACTCAGGCGTTCCTGGCTCTGGGGCAGCCTTCTGGCCTGAGCCTGGGATGAGGAGGCCTCTCTAGGACAGGGGTGATGCCTTGCTCCTCGAGTGGCGGGGACAGGCCTCCTCACGCCTGGTCTGTGTCCTGAGGCCTGTCCTGGGGCAAGGCCTGGGATTGGTTTGCTGGTGCCGGAGTCTACTGTCAACCAGGCAGGAGGGGGAAGATCAACACTGCCCTTCCTCCCCCCTTCCCAGACGCCCTGAATAGGGCCAGAATCTAGGTCTTGACTGAGACCTCTTACCCTGCTTGACAGAGGGCCCAGGGCAACAGGGCAAAGGTCTCTCTCTCTCTCTCACACACACACACACACACACACACACACACACACACACTCACTCCACCCACTATCTCCAAGACTCAATCTCAATAAAAACTAAAAGGCCGAAGTCTCACAGGTTACATTCAGTAGGGCTTTTCTCACTTTTTAAGAAAAGATACTTATTTCCTCTATCCCACCCCAAGAATATGTTACTTTCACAAAACACAGAGAAAGCTCATTAAAAAACGAGGGAGTGAAAAGGCACCAAAAACACCGCCTGTCAGGAGCACCCCGCCGTTCAGGCATGAATTGTGCCCTGGGTTTCCCTCGGAGGTCTGTAGGTGCCACCTGCTGTCCTGCCTCCTTGCCTCCCACGCCCCCATCACTGTGACCTCTGTAAACTGTGCTTTGCATGAGCATCGGGCCCTCCCCTTCCACGACGGTGCCCCAGCACAACTGCCAGCCCTGCGTGTGTACCATGACCTTGTGTGGTAGAGGAGGAAACGAGGCCCAGAGAGGTGGAGGGCCTGGCCCCAGGTCACACAGCCCAAAGCAGCCAGCATTGCGGGGAAGGCCCCTCGACCCTTGTTCCCTGGGCTCCCTGCTCCACTGTGTGCTCCTTGCCCTGAATCTCTACCATTCCATCTCTTCTTCCCTTTTCCCCTTCGTCCTCCTCCTCTCTCTTCTTCATCTGCCCCTTCATCCATTTGACAAAATTGTCTGTGCCAGGCCTGTGCTGGGCTCTGGGCACATGAAATAAGACAGATCACTCACTGCCTTCAGGGGACAAATGAAAGGATCCCTCCTGTGCCCATCCACTGCGAATGATAATGAATCCCCAGTCTTGCTATGAATGCAAATGATGGAGCCATCTATACCTGGTGGGTGGCCTTCCAGGCTGAGGGAATAGCATAGGCCAATGTCCTGTGGCTGGCAGGAGTGTAGAGTGCTGGAGGAACAGCGAGTGTGGCTGGGGAAAAGTGCCCAGGAGGTGGTCAGGGGCCAAGCTTTGAGAGGTCTGGCCTTGACCTTCAGGGCCATGGGGAGACATTGAAGGTTTAGCAGAGGATTGTTGCATTTTGGGGTTTCCTTCTGTTAGCAGTGAGGTGAGGAGGCAGAGTGGACCTGGGGTGACCAGTGAGGTGGGCACTATCATCCAGGTAAGGGGTAGGTGCCCGCCCTTACCACCTGGATAATGGGTACATTGCTGCCCGGGGTACAGATGGGAGCGTGGATGCTCAGAGCAGGGCAGATGGCTCCAGATCTTCAGCTCATCCCCGAATCCCGTTCTCCATCCTGTCCCCTCCCCCACCCCCAGTGCTGCGGTGCCTTGGCATCCCCACCCGAGTGGTGACCAACTTTAACTCAGCCCATGACCAGAACAGCAACTTGCTCATCGAGTATGTCTACAACGAGTTTGGAGAGATGCAGAGGGACAAAAGCGAGATGATCTGGTGAGCTGGGGCCCGGAGTCAGGGGTAAACCCCAATGGGGGGTCCCCTGGAAAGGAAACTTAGGAAGACTTCTCAGAGGAGGTCACATTTGAATTGGGATTAAAAGTTGAACAGTATTGAGACAAGGGGGAATGGGGCCAGGGTGGGCTTTCCAGGTAGGGGCCCCAGCATGAGCAAAGGAGGGAAAGTCAAACACAAAGTCAATAATGCATGAAAATGTGTCAGGGTGTTGGTTTTTCAGGAGTCTGGAATGCCAGGTGAGAGGGTCTGGGCTTGACTCCAAAACCAACAGGTTGTCACCAAAGGCTTCAAACTGGGAGAGGAACTCTGATGACACCAGAGCAGGAGATCAGAAGGGGAGAGATTGCAGGCAGGGGGCTAGGGTGTGGCCCAGGCAGGTCTGAAACGGGGCAAAGCCCATGAGCTGGAAAAGAAGGGACAGCCGAGAAGTGAGGAGGTCCCATCCGGTGGACTCAAGGAGCCACTGAAAGAGGAGGGCTGTGGGAGAGGTGCTGACAATGACTCCCCGGGCAGGAGTGAGCACCTGGCTAGGGCCCAAGGGAGGAAGAGCAAGCAGGTGTGTTGGGGATGCTCTGGGGTGAGCATAGGACAGGTGAGTGTGTACTGCCCACGGGAGAAGTATGAGTCCTCACTTCATTTCTCCAACAGGAACTACCACTGCTGGGCGGAGTCATGGATGAGCAGGCCGGACCTGCAGCCGGGCTACGGGGGGTGGCAGGCCCTCGACCCCACGCCCCAGGAGAAGAGTGAAGGTGGGTAGGTGTGGCCCCCTTCCCGAGGCCGGCAAACTGAGGCTTGGTGAGAACTGCTCCCCCCACCGCCAAGTCCCTCAGCCTGGAGTGGCAGAGCCAGGTTCTAACCCCAGTCTGGCTGACTCCAGAGACCACTGAGTGGCTTGCACAAGTGTTGGGGTCCTCACTCAGAGCATTTGATCAGCTTCTTTTATCATTGGAAAAGTAATTCACATGCATTGTGGAAAACAGCAAATATGGAGAAGCACAAAGAAAAAGATCAAATAACATCTTTGTCCTCTCCCCCTCAAAAGAAGTATCATTCCTATTCACACACAGCTTCCAGTAATTTCCCATTATATATTTGTTGGTAGGTGTGTGTGTGAAAGACGGAAAGGCAGAGACAGAGAGAGGGAGAAAGAGACAGAGACAGAAAAAGACAGAGGGAGAAAGAGAGAGAGAACACCAAGGCAAAACTGGGTGAAACCAAATGGATCCTTTCTCAGAATAATATTTGTATTTATATTTTTTATTTTATTTTATTATTGTTTATTTAATTTCAATCAGCCAACATTAGTTTTTGCTGTAGTATTCAGTGATTCACTAGCTACGTGTAACACCTAGTGCTCATGACATCACGTACCCTCCTTAATGCCCATCACCCAGTTACCCTGTCTTCCCAACAGAATAATATTTTTAAATGCATAGAATATATTACCTAGGGAAACAAAGAAAACCAATTACACCAAAACATGGTTATCAAAATTTTTAAAAAAATATATTTATGATATGGTAATATCTGCTTTACAGAACAAGGTCTAGTGGTAAAGATAGTAAGTTCCATGATGTACTGTTACAGGTGCATATAAGCGGTATTTCCGGTTGTCTACGACACCTAAAAAGTGATGCTTCAGTGTCTGTGCTCCTTACGGGTGAGAAGTCATAAGTGCACCTAAGACGATGGTTTGTCTGCTTTCACAATCGAAAGAAGTGTTAGCAAAATTCAGTGCAGACAAAGATGTCATTTTTTGCCATCCAAGTTCACGGACCCCCGAACTCTCCTGGCAGTGCTTTGGGGGTCTTTGGTCCCTCGGTTAAAATCTCCGGCTGCATGTGACCTTTTGTCTTGGTCCTGTCTCGTCTCCATGTGTCATGGACATTTCTTTATCTCATAGTTTCCCCTGATTTTAATTTTAAATGAATGTTACCATGCCTGTTGCATCAAATGGATACAATGTAGTGAGCTACTCAGCCTCTAGCCCTCCACAGTTAACTCTGTGGCCAGTTTGAAGCAGCTGTGAACCCCAGCGAGAGAAACATCCAGCTCTCATGGTCATTCAGTCAACATGCACCCCCTGAGTACATTGATGGGGGCGGCTGTGGCTCTCTGTGTGGGCAGGAAGGCGGAAGGACAGACCAACTGTCTTCTACAGCATGGCTCTCTCCCTTCCTCGGGATGCCTGGGGATACGCTTCTGCTAATATTTCAGACACTTAAAAAAAAAAAAAAAACACATTTCATTTACATAGTATTTAGTATGCGAATCCTCATTAGGTGGGTCGTAAATATCCCCACCACACAAAACGGGCTTAGAGAAGTTAAGTCACTTCCCCAAGGAATAAGAAGTCCCCCAGTTAATGAGGCCAGCTGAGATTTGAACCCCAGAAGCTGGGCAGGCTCCAGAGCCTGCATTTTTAATTCTTACTCTCTGCTACCTTCCCACCAGTGGAGTCCCTGAGTCAAATGGCTGGACAGTCTCAAGATTCCCTGCAACAATGTGGCTGAAATGTGGAAAGTGGGAGAGGGTGTCACCCTCCCCTCAGCCCAAGCCCATCTCGCCTCTTACCCCCAAACAGGGACATACTGCTGTGGCCCGGTTCCAGTTCGTGCCATCAAGGAGGGTGACCTGAGCACCAAGTACGATGCACCTTTTGTCTTTGCTGAGGTCAATGCCGACGTGGTGAACTGGATCCAGCAGAAGGATGGGTCCATGCGCGAGTCCACCAACACCGCCCTGACCGTGGGGATGAAGATCAGCACGAAGAGGGTGGGCCGTGATGAGCGGGAGGACATCACCCACACCTACAAGTACCCGGAGGGTAGGTGCTCGGCTCCCCAGAGCCTTCGCCAATGCCTTGCAGGGAAGCAGCCTGTTTCACCAGCCAGTGGGCTTGTGTGTGTGTGTGTGTGTGTGTGTGTGCGCGTGCGCACACACACGGATGTGTTTTCTTTGGCAGCCTGCATACAATAAGGATTTGTAGGTTACTCTCCATTTTACACCTTTTCTTAGAAAAAAACACACTGGAACACAGTAGTAGAAGAGTATTAATTTAAGAATTCTGTATTTCACAAAAGGATTCCATGGGGTTTGTTTAAGCCTTGCTTTTTGGCTGTTTGGACTTAAAACACAACTGGAGGATACTCATTATGGAGGAGCTGCCTGCCTCCGAACAGAAAAATGAATGATGTCTGTGTTGTTTTGTGACAGTATTTGTCATCATGGTACCTGCAACCGAAGACATGCAATCCCACACCCCCCCCTCCTTTTTTTAAATTGCAACATGTTTGGACTAGAGAGACTTGGAAGTCCAGAGGGGCGGGTCCTGGAAGAGAGATTCCAGGAACTCCATAGTGTTTATTTGTGCGGTGTTTCACACACAGCTGGGGAGGTGAGTGGGCAGATGGAGAGGGAAGGAGAGAAAGATCGTAAGAGCGACTTAATGAGAGAGCTGTAATCTGATCCAAAGATGAAGCCGCTCTCTGCAGCTTATATTCAATCAGGAGAGGGAAGAAAGGACACAGCTTATTTTTTTAATCGTTTTGGAGCACAACCAGCAGCCAGTTCAATACAGTAGCTGTTTTCTAAGCATCCTTGGTGAGCCTGGGGGTGGGGGGGGTGGGGCGGCTCACAGAGGTGCGTAAGGAACCATCACTCCTGCCCTCCTCTGACTCCCGATGACTTACCTGTGCCAGCTGGGGGTTGGAGAACAAGCAGCCATACTCTGACAGAAGGAAAAGTTGCTTCCGCTGGTCTCTGAAAGGTCTAGAGCTGATGGTTTGATGGGAGACATAGATATGCACCCAGCAGCACTGGGGAAGAAACAGGAGCAGAGGAGAGAGGTAGATGGGACACAGAGGAGGGGAGTGCTACAGGTAGGGAGGGGGAGGAAAAGATTTCAGGTAGATGAAATCAGGGCAAACACTGGGAGGTGAGAAAGTTTTCGTCCTACTGGTGTTTACTATCTACCAACCACTGTTAGAGGCTTCAGGTATGACAAGAGATGAGTGAAATACAGTCTTAGTCTTTGAGCGGCTTAAGAGGGTAAGTACATAAACAGAAAACAACTTGGTTAAATAAAAAGCATGATAGGCAACAGGCACTGGTGAAACTCGAGGAGACATGACGACTCATTCATCCTGGGGCAGGAGTGTTCAGAGAAGGCTTCCTGGAGGAGGGGGCGTCATTTGGGACTGGGTTTTGAGGGATGTATAGGAGTTTACTTGTGGAAAGTAAATAAAATCTCCTATCATCCTCGTGACACGGGAGTGTAGACAAGGGGCTCCTCTAGACCTGATCTGAGTCCCCAGGACTCTGAAGAGCCAGCTCGCCCTGCCCCAGCCTCGTTGTCCTTGGTCCCTATTTCAGCCATACCAGAGCTCTCTTCCCCATTCCCACAGGGTCCCCAGAGGAGAGAGAAGCCTTCAAAAAGGCCAACCACCTGAATAAGCTGACTAAGAAAGAGGAGATGGGGGTGGCCATGCGGATCCGCGTGGCCCAGAGCATGAACATGGGCAGTGACTTTGATGTCTTCGCCTACATCACCAACAACACGGCTGAGACCCACACCTGCCGCCTCATGCTCCATGCCCGCACCGTCAGCTACAATGGGATCCTGGGGCCTGAGTGTGGCAGCAAAGACCTGCTCAACCTTTCCCTGGAGCCCTCATCTGGTAAGGCCCTGTGGTCCCGGAGAAGTTGCTGACCACCAATGAGCGGCGCAGTCGTTAGTGTCCCGAGCACTTGACATGTGCGATTGACCTCACGGATGTTTCTGTGACACTTCTGTGGGTCACGCCCTTCCCACAGCCTTTATAAACAAGCCACCCATTTAATTCTTGTAACAAAAGTGGGAGGCGGATTCTTTTATTGCCCCATTTTTCAGATGAGAAGACAGAGCGCAGAGAGTTTAAGCAACTTTCCCAAGACCACACGGTTAGGAAGGAACAGGACTGAGACTTGAACCTACACTCTTAGCAGCCATACTGCTTTGTTCCATGTCATCTTCATGTGACCTCAGACCGCTTCCTGGGGTGTGCTACTGCTTGCTCCCAGCTCATTCCTTCCCTCTGCCTCCACCCACAGCCCCTGCGAGAACTCGGCCTCAGAGAGAAGGGGTTCTAGGCCAGTGCTGCTCATAGAACTTTCGACATGCAGGAGCCCTTCTGCGTCTGCGCTGTCCAGTCGCTGGCGGCCAGCTCCCTTTGGCCGTTGAGCCCTTGAAATGAAGTGAGCACAACTGTGGAATTCGAGTTTTAATTCCACTTAAAGTTAACCAGCCACATGTGGCCAGAAGTTGCCCTATTGGGCAGAGTAGCTCTGAGGGCAACAGGAGAGGAGAATGGCGGGGCCCCCAGGGAGGAAGTGTTTCCTCCCACCCCCAACCTTCTCCTCTGACCTGGCTCTGGCGCCTGGCCTGGCCTCCCTGTGAGGCAGATCTCCTGCCCTGTTCTGGGGCAAAATGATGTCAGTAGACGGCCCAGTCTGCAGCCCCAGGGAAAAGCATCTGTCACTCAAGCCTCGTGGTCAGAAACCCGCACGTACGCATTCCTTGGTCTCTTTCCCTGCCTGGCTTGGTCACTGTACCCAATTATCTTCCTGAAAATAAGCCTGAGGCCCTGAGGGGGGTTGTGGCCCCTCAGGTAACTCAGTGAGGCAGCACAGAGCCTGGTGTCTTGCCCTCTATCCCCACCCCCAGCCACCTGATCCTGGCTGGTGCAGTGGCAGCCTTCAGGCCTGAGGAGGCAAAGGGGTCTTGGTAATGGAGCCTTCTGGTCGTCCTCTGAGGGGCAGTGTGGACACTCTTCGGCCCTGGGGCCTCAGAGAGGTGCGTCCCACTCGCTGGGTCACCTAGGCCAATGGCTGCCTCCCTGAACCTCAGTGTCGCCTGTGAGGTCCATGGCAGTCAGGACCTGACAGCCTAGGACTCTCCGGCAGGGGGGAGTGGGGAGGGGCTGTGTCCAGTGTAGGTGCCCCCTATCCAGAAGCCAGCATGCTCACGTACCAAGCTGGTGGAAAGGCCCAGGGCGGGGAGGGCTCTCGTTTGTGGCGTCTGTGTGCCTTCCCCTGGCCCCCCTACTCTTGCCTGTCAAACCCATGTTTCCTCCCCTTTATTGCCTCTGCCCTTGGCCCCTGTGTCTGGTGGGAGGGCCATGGCCTTGGAGTTCCTCAGAAGGCCTGTCTGGGTTTCAGGCCTGGAATCTGTGGTATAGATGGCCTCCTTCCTGGTTTCTCTATCTTGGGCCCCCCATGGGTACTCCTGGGGCTGCATGCTCACCCTTTGCCCCTCAGGGGCAAAGCCAGTGGCACCAGGACGGGGCCCCAACACTCAGATCTGCGAGAACACACGTTCTGAGTCCATCCAGACATGGCTTTGCCGCTGCCCACTGCCCCACTTCTGAATGTACAAACTTGGGCAGCATGACCTTGCACTCAGATCCTCGAATCACACCCATCATTCAGTGGGGCAACAGCACACCCTCCTGATGGGCCTCTGGGAGGACTGGAGGAGACCGTGTGCTCAGGAAATATCTGGAAAGTATAAAATGGGACCTGATCATAGAAAGGCAGAGAATCCCCGAGAATCTGTCCTGAACACCTGCTGTGCCAGATGGTGGTCTCAGTGCTGGGCCCAGGGGCTCCTGAGCCCCTGCCAACCTCGATGGCATGCAGAGGACCCAGCCGTCACCTCCGCATCCTGGCCCCGGGTGTCAGGGGCAGGGGTCCATTTCCACAGGTGTGTGCCACGGCCAGGATACCCAAGTTCTAGTTCCTACAATGCTGTCGATGGGTTGTGGGCTCCTGGGGATTTGTCCTCTCCTTTCCAGGCCTCAGGTTCCTCCCTTGCAGGAAGGCTGGTTCATGATTGAAGAGCCCGCCCCCTGGGTGTGACTGTGTTCCAGCGGGTTCTTCTCACGTTCAGAACCGCTTCAAAGGGAGGAACTGTCTTTCCTGCAATGTGTGGCATGAGGTGAACTCCAGCCCTGGCCAGCGATGCCAGAAGAACTTCCTGTTGAGTCACCCTTTGCCAGGCCGCTGCCATCTGGGCCCTTGGAGCGTTGTTCTGCCGAGGCTCAGCCAAGCCTGTCGGTGTTTCCCATCACCCCGGGGACGTGTTCACCGCAGAGCGGTCCCTCCTGCCTCGGAGACCCATGAAGGGCACAGCCTGCAGAGAGAGGGCAGAGGAGGGCAGAGGTCCTGTGTACTGCCTTCGGGCTGCAAGGTGGGGCTGGTCTAGGATGCTGGCTGTCGCCTCCAATCCCAAGCTCAGCCTCAGATAGATGATCCCCCCCTCCGCCCCGCCCTGCCCCGAGACCCCAGAGTTTGGCTGGCTTGCTTGTTATTCTCTGATGATAAGATCTGGGGAATTTCCAGAATGTGCTAATGGACAGGAAACCAGGCCGAGGACAGGGAGCCATCCCCACCCTTGCCTCCTTGCGCTGCTTCTCTCTCCCTTCCCCTTCCTGCCCCACCCGTCCTCTCTCTCCTCCCCTCACCCCTCCAGGTGGGTCACTGGGACTGTAGCCACTATGGCCTCTGTGGCCATACCCATGGCACCTTCTAGAACAGGACTAGTCACCTAGGGAACGACTGAGACTGACCACACAGGTTCTATTCTCTCAACCAAGGCTGTGGTCCCTGGCCGTTGGACCACGGTTCTCAGAGGTCCTGCCCCACCCTCACGTCAGCCTTCTGGAAAAGTCAACAGTTGGGGCCACATCCTCTAAGCTCCTGGAGGGCAGTGTTGTCCTTTCCCGTGTAGCTGGCCAGTTTCCATTCGGTTCCACCAGGCCCTGACCTGGGGATTTTCACTCCTTTCTGTCTTCACTGGCAGAAGGTTGGGTTTTCTTCCCCAATGTCATCTGCTCAGAGGTTGTGGCGGAGCCATCCTGGGGATGAGCCGCTGGGACGCGGGGCTGGCTGGGGCTTAGACCTTGACCAGCAGCAAGAAGCTGGCTGTCCGCCAGGCCCTCACCGTCCTTCATATGGGCCCTGCAAGGAGCATCTCGGGGGCAATTACAGGCCCAGCACCCTTACCCCTCATGGATCTCAGCCCGGAGCCCTCGGCAGACAAGAATATCAAGCTGGAACTGAGTGAGAATGACTTGGCTTTGTATTTCTTTTTGCCAGTTACCTTCTATTTATAGTAAATGAGACTGGTTGGTGCAAATATCGAAAAGTGTGCCCAGGCAGAAAAGGTTAAAAAGTATAAAGCGAGTGGGCTGAGAGCAAAACAATGAGCAAATAATGAGGTTATCCTCAGATATGTGAAAAGTCCGGTGAGTGGCTGGAGTCTGATGGGAGACGGAGGGGACAGATGGTGGGAAAAGAGGCTTCTCCCATCATGGCCCGGGGATGGCTGAGCCCCGCTGAGCCCCAAGACTGGCCGTCCAGCACTCCCGTTTGACAGGGGAGGTCCGAGGAACCTTCCAGATGGGGTTTGCCCAAGTGACTCTGCGATGGTGTGGACAAGCACTCCATGGCCCAGCCTGCTAATTCTTAGGCCTGTGCTCTTTGCACTGTTCTTTCCTGCCTCCTGCAAGCTGACCCCTGGTGCCCTCGTGCCACAGTGTTGTCAGAAAAATGGGGCTAGAAACCACACTTTGCTTCTCTGCATTGGGAGGGGTTGGCCCTTCTCATCTCTTCATCACTATGTGGCTTTTGCTCTGAAGTGACCCCTGGTCTTAGCTCCTCCCAGCAGGTGCAAGATTCCCAGGGTACAAAAGAGAAACAGAGAGGGGAGGTGACCTTCCCAGGCTCACACAGCCAGTCGATCAGTGGCCAAGCCACACCAGGTCTCCTGATCTGAGCACTTACTGGCAGAAGTATTTCTTCATCTGTAAAATGGGCACAATCCCACCCGCTTCATGTGGGGAAACTGAGGCCCTGAGAGGTGGAGTGACTTGATCAGCATCACCAGCTGGCAAAGGGCAGAGAGGCAGGATCAGAATCCAGGCCTGTTGGAGCTCCAGCACTTGCCTGACCAGGCTCCTACCTGGGAACCCCCAAGCCGGGACAAATGGGGGCCGGGGCGAGGCCTGGGATCTGCCCATTCATTCACTAAGTGACCTCAAGCACAGTCTTTCCCCTCTCAGTGCTTTGGGGCAATGCCGTGGGAGAAGTGGGGGCCATGACTCAGCGATCACAGTGTTCTTCCCTCTCGCCTCTTGCAGAGAAAAGCATTCCCCTCCGAATCCTCTATGACAAGTACTGTGAGTGTCTGACCGAGTCGAACCTTATCAAGGTGCGGGGCCTCCTCATAGAGCCGGCTGCCAACAGCTACCTGTTGGCCGAGAGGGACATCTACCTGGAGAATCCAGAAATCAAGATCCGAGTAAGGGATGGGCTGGGCGAGGGATGGTGGCAGGGGCGGGGTCCCAGAACAGCCCCCCCACCGCTGCCCCGCCCATGTACATACCAGCAGCTCGGCCCTCTCCAGATCTTTGATGCCCCAGGCTTCCTCAAATCCTAACTTCATCGAAGGAAAGCATCGTAAAGCTGGAAGGATTGGGGACTCCTACCTCTAGGAATGAATCCTAGAATTCCAGAGTGATGGGGAGGTGGAATTTAGGGATCTCAGAATCATGGACCCTTGATTGCCTGGATTCCATCGAGGCCCTGGGGCGCTGGTGGGGCAGGAAGAGGTGAAGGAATTAAGGGCACAGACTCTGCAGTCTGACTCCCTGAGTTTGTGTGTGGGTAGCCCTGGGCAGGTCACTCTGCCCCTCTGGGTATCACTTCATTGTGTGCAAGGTGGAGTTACATACCTAGCACCTAGGCGTGTTGTAAGAATGAAATGTACATCCAAGGAAGTGCCTTATAAGGGCTCACAGTAGCTGACTATTCTTATCACCATCATCATCGTCATCCTAGAGAGCCACAGCCCCAGAATCCCAAATGCAGCGTTAGAAATAAATGGCAAAGAGCAGAGGGGGCGGGAGTGGGCACCCCCGTGTTAGCTCAGTTAATCCTCATGAGAGCCCCGCAGCAAGGCATTTCTCTCCTAAGAAGAAACCAAGGCTCCGAGGGGGTCATTACTTTCCCAAGGTCACACAGTGAGGAAGGGGTAGAGATCAGCCTGGCCGGAAAGCCTGTGATCTATCCATCCAGACCTTAGAACAAGGGAGGCACTTTCTGCATCCCCCCAGTCACGTGGAATCTCACTGCAGGTCCCTGAACATGTTTCCTAGATGAGGAAACAGGTGCAGAGGTGGGGAGCAATCATGCCCAGCGGGGCCAAATTGCAGCAAATACAGAGATGCCTCCCACACCCCGTCCTGCCTTCGCGGGGCTCCTGCCTGCCCCCGAGGGGCTCTAGGCTCCTCTCCCTCAGGGCCGCCCTGACATCTGTCCCTCTTGTCGTCTTGTCTTCCAGATCCTGGGAGAGCCCAAGCAGAACCGCAAGCTGGTGGCGGAGGCGTCCCTGCGGAACCCTCTCACCAAGCCGCTGTTAGGCTGCACCTTCACCATGGAGGGGGCCGGCCTGATGGATGAGCAGAAGATCGTGGACGTGTAAGTGCCGGTCCCTCCAGCAGGGGGCGGGGTGGGGAGGAGCTGGAAGCACAGAGCAGGGCGGGTGGAGGGACGGGCTGCCCGCAGGCACTAAACCCTGGCTGGCAACTCCCTCTCATCGCCTCCCACCCACGCACCCACACGCCTGCCTTAATTTAAGGCTGTGACCCTTCGGCCGCCCCCTTAGGCACGGTTCCCACCCCTGCATCCTCCGTGAGCACCCGCACCGCGCAGCTAGCGCGCCAAGCACCTGTCTTCCCAAACCTGAGCAGTTGACACACTGCAGTCCCTAAGCACCTCCCTTGGACACGCGAATCCTCGTGTAAACACAAGTACCCGCATCTGGAGTGTGTGCGAGGGGGCACCTGTGGCTGTGTCCTCAGAGAGACACATCTACTACACACACAAGTACAAGCATAGATACTTTTTTAAACTTTTTTATTGTAACTTACGTCCGGTGAATAACAGAAATGGTGTATGTGGGGCTCAGTGCATTTTCACACATGTAGTCCCCTGCGCGTACCCACTCTTATCCCCAAGCACAGTGTCCACTCGCACGTGCGCGTGCACACACGCACACACACACTCTGCACGAGGGAGGGCCCATTGCCCCAGGCCCTTGGAGAGTGGTGAGTGCGGCCCATTTTGTTCTTGTCACATGACGTTGTGCATGCACAGCAGCTCTGTGCCAGGGTCCCTGGTCATCCTGGTCTGACCCCACTGCAGGGACCAGGCTGGGCCCCTCCCCTCACCCTCTTGCTCTTTCTCTCCGCAGCCCGGACGCCGTGGCAGAGGGGGAGGTCAAGGTGAGGGTGGATCTGATGCCACGCCACGTGGGCCGCCATAAGCTGGTGGTGAACTTTGAGAGCGACAAGCTGAAGTCTGTGAAAGGCTTCAGGAATGTCATCATTGGTCCCGCCTAAAGGCCATGTGCCCAGCCCCGCCTCAGCCAGCTCAGAGCCCCTAACCTGATCCCAATTTTTGTTCCAAGTTAATGCGCCAATTTGCCCCCTCTTGGCCCCAGACCTCAGAGCCTGTGGGCGCTTTTTGGGATGGAATGTACTCCTAGCCTATCTTGTGCCCCTGAACTTGGATTCCCATCTCCCTTTAACTGTGAAGAATGTTCTGTGCTTCCCCATTAGGAGCACTGCCCTTGGCTGATTGGGTCTGGGGTCGGGGAGGAGGGACCCAGGCCTCCCTTTATAGCCTAGATGCTATTGGAAACCACTGACCACCCACCATATTGTTTGATTTACTCCAGAGCCCCTTGAAGCCAGCAGAAGAGAGACGGTATGCCCCTTGACCAGATCCCAGACAATACACAGGCCCCAGGAGCCCTTGGGAAAATGAGAGCCAGGGCAGGTGGAGTCCCAGGAAGGGTCAGACCCAAGGTCCCCTCATATCCCAGCAGCCCTGGCCCAGTCATCCCCACTGCCACCATTGTGAGGCACCGGCCATGTGCGGGGCACTTTCCCTGCCTTTGCTAGTACTCACACGACTACAACCCATTTAAGTCACCATGGGAAATGGCAGGGTAGGAGCTGCTTTCTGGATGAAGACTCTGGGGCTTGGAGGAGGGAGGGGAGGCTCTCTCTGCACCAGCAGGATATTTGCAAGGCTGGGTAGTAGGAAAGCTCTAGAACATAACCCAGGACTTCTGACTCCGAGTCCAGCTCCTCGTTCATGGCCCCAGTCCCGACCTGAGAATATTAAAGAGGCCATTTGGGACCTGAGCAGAAAGGAGGCAGTTGGGGTGAGGTGGGGAGGAGATTGGAGGGGTCAGAGCCCTGGGTTTGAGCCCCAAGTCCAGTCGGTCACTGTCTTCCCCTCTCTGGGCCTCAGATTCCTCATTGGGCGATGGGGTGTTGACCCAGCCACGAGTAAGGCCCTCTCAGCTCTGCTCTTCCAATGCTTATAGGACCCAGCCTTGCAAATGACAGCAAGTCCTCATCCCTGGCTCTCACAGCCTGAGGCCACAGGTCCAGATGCTTCTGAGTGTGAGACTCTGACCATGACCACCTTCCCACCCCCAGTCCCAACTGTGTCCCCTGTCATGCCCAGTCACCTTCCTTCACACTACAGTTCTGGGGAAGAGAGCTCCACAGGCCCCTGTCCTACCCATGAACTTGCCCACTGCAATGCCTAGACTTCACGAGAGCCTTAACCACCTGTGTGGGTCACTAACAAGGTTAGCACCTCAGCCGCCCCCTCTCTGCAGGACCAGGGCCCAGAAACATAGCCCCAGCCCCGACTAAGCTCCGAGAACCTAAGGGCTGTCATCTCTGACTCTATCCCCCTCTCTGTCCACATGACTGGGCTGGAAGAGGGATGAGGGAGAATGCTATATCTGGGGTGGGGTCACAGCCTCCAGGGCCCCCAAAATCTCAGAGGGGGACTTGGGGAAAGCCATGCAGACACACATAGAACTTTCTGATTTGCACTGGGAAGGATCCCCAAATAAGCCGACTTGTGTATGTTCTTACAAAGGTTGCAGTAGTTCTCTATGATTCTGTAAACATTTTTGGATTCCAAGCAGGCAGTAGATGCATTTTCGAGCCACAGAGTGAGCACCGAAATAAAAGCGTTTGCTTTGCACATTCAAACAAAGTCTGGTCTAGTCTTTTTTCCGCTTTGGAGGAGGGTGTGTGGTGAACGTGCTCACATTGGAACCAGCCACCTCCTCCTGCCCGAGCGTCCACAGCCTCAGTTTCCCCCTCCCCAGGTCCAAACTCAACTAGCATCCAAGCTTTTACCCAGTCCAGCTCCATCTCTAGCCCCTTCCTCCAACGAGTCATGTTGAGATCACAGTCAAATTCCTGAATCCCTCAAATGCCCTGTGCACCTGTCAACCTCTTAGCTTTTGCCTCGGTATTGCCCTGAGCCTGGAGTGCTCTTCCTCTTCCTTATCCATGTGGCAAACTCCTACTCATCCTATGCTTAATACCAAAGTCACTTCTTCTGTGAAGCCTTTCTAGATTTCTTCTCAGCAACCCCCAGACTGCTGGAACACGGACCAACTCAAACACTGATCACTGTGAATTTTATTTCCATGTTGCTGTATCTGTCCCCCTTCTCATCCTGTCTGAAGTCCCCAAGAACATCCTATCTGAATTCTGTCTCTTAAATAGACTACAACAAATGCTGAAATGATACACTAATGTTTCGGCTCAGCTCCCCTAAGCCCAGGGCTGTCCAAGAGAGCTAGCATGCGAGCCACACATGCAAAGCCATAGGAACTTAAGTTTTTCTAGTGGCCATATTAAAAAGAGTAAAAAGAAACAGGTAGGGCGCCTGGGTGGCTCAGTGGGTTAAGCCGCTGCCCTCGGCTCAGGTCATGATCTCGGGGTCCTGGGATCGAGTTCCGCATTGGGCTCTCTGCTCGGCAGGGAGCCTGCTTCCCTCTCTCTCTCTCTCTCTGCCTGCCTCTCCATCTACTTGTGATCTCTCTCTGTCAAATAAATAAATAAAATCTTTAAAATAAATAAATAAAATCTTTAAAAAAAAAAAAGAAACGGGTAAATCATGTTCTGATGGCGTATCTTATTTAACCTAGTATGTGTGAAACATTATGTCAATACGTAATCAAGAAAAGAAATGAGATCTTTTACATTTTTTTCATACTACATGTATGAAACGTGGCCTTTGTTTTATACCGACAGCCTGTCTCGATTTGGACTAACTGCGTTTCAGGTTCTCAACAACCATAGGAGCCTTTTAGACTGGGATTGTAAAAGTAGGGGAACTTGTTCATTCACCTCATTCCCTCCTGACCGGCCATCAGCAAATATTTGTTGATTGAATAAGCGATGGAGGACAGCCTCTGCCCTCGGGGAACTCTTGTTGAAACACTTGACATGCACTTAAGAAAATAAATCAAAATGAAAACACGACATCGCATTTTCGGGGTACTGAAGCCTTCTGTCCCCTGAAAACTGCAGCTTGTCCTGGTCTATGTGGACTGAACATTTTATCAATAGTGACCGACTGGAAAACAGAAACCCCTGGGCCATTTCCAGGCTGAGAAGACAAGGGACATGGGTTCCAAATGCATCCAACGTGCAGGAAGAGTAGAAGGGAGACGGAAAGTGACAAGGCAGTTGCTGTCCAGAATAGCTGGGAGCCCCCAGCCGAGCCGGTGCTCACCACCTACCTGCTGGAACCAGCAGGGCTGCTGGAATGGCAGAGGTCTGCTCAAGTCGGCGGGCCCAGGCCGTGGCGGGAGCTGGAGGCCGGTTGGCAGCTCTTCCCCTCCTGCCTTCTCCCCACTGGCAGAGCCTAACCAGAAACAAGCTGGCAAGGGGCTCTGGAAAATATCATTTTCAGGCTTCCAGCCACCCCAAGAAAAACGGATGGCTAAGCAAGGGTGCGGCGTGGGGATGGAGTCGAGTAGCTTATGCTTATCGCTGTTCCCTCTGCTAAGAACAGCTTCCCGTCCTCTCTACCTCATCAACACTTAATCAGCCTTTAAGACCCTGTTCCAAGGAGGCCGCTTCTGGGAAGCCTTCCTGGACTGCGGTCAATGGCTTCCACCTCTGGTTCACCTGGGTCTATCATAGGTAGCTGCTTGTGTGCCTGACCGGCGTAGCACCCCAAGAGCACAGTCAGGACGCACGCCCTACAAGGGGGCCCCCAGGTGGACTCAGGACTGCTGACTCTGCCTGCAGGCCTGACTGCCTCCCCAATGCTGAGCAGATCCAGAGGCCTCTCCTGACCAGCCCCCACGTCTGACCCACCCCCAGGAGCCCACTCGCCAGGAACCCAGGAAGGACAAAGGCCCTGCTGCTCCCAGAGGCCCAGACAAAGAAGATGAGCCTGAGCTCCGGCTCCCCAAACCAGGGCAGGGCTGAATCCGGGTCCTACAGGGCAGGGCAACTGTGCCTGGCTCCTCGGCGGCTCAGAGGCTTGGAGCCAAACAGACCCAGGATCCGAGCCTGCCAAAGATTCACAGTGTGGCTGCAGGCAGGTTCTCAACCTCTCTGTTCCTCTGCTTTCTCATCTGTTGAATGGAGATGATTTGGTGTCTCCTTCCATGACCAGTACACAGGTTCAATGCAATGACGGAGAGAAACTACCTGAGTCTTACACATTATAATCCTAGGAGCCAACTTCACTCCAGGCTCAGGAAACTTTCCGTGCACTGAGTTCCTTCCTCCTTGGGTAACCTTATCCGCTTGTTGCCCCCATTTTACAGATTCTATAGTCACAGAGCTGTGACTGGTTCCCAGGCAGCCTGGCCTCCCCAGCACAGAGGCTAGCCTTGGCGAGGCCTGATTTCCACCCGGACCCTCTTCCCACTGTGCTCCAGGACACATGGCGCAGCGCCCTCCACACAAGCCCCGACAGGACTCAGTGGGGACCTGTTGGGTCCATCTTCCCACCCCTGAAAGTCCCTCTCTTCTTCCACTGCTCTTGCTTACCTAGGATGCCTGCCAGCTCACCCCTCAGCCCCAAGCCAAGCCTAGAATAACAGAACATTGACAGAGTCCAAAAGGGAGGGGCCTCGGGAGGAGGGCCAGGCGGCGGCCTCCTCTAAGCCCGTGCACCTTGGGGCCAGGACTGGGTCAGCACATATGCCATCCCGGCTTCCCTGCTTCCCTACTGCACAGGCCTGGACAGATGCACAGACACACACGCCCGGGAGAGTGTGAGACCCTGTATTCTGTTTCAAGAAGAAAAGCCCAATGAGACCCATTAAAAACAGAGGCAGTGAAAACAACGATGGTTTGCGTGGCTTTGAATACAGGAGAGCTACGACGACACACGACAACACGATGAATCTCACAGGCCTGACGTCAAGCAAAAGAGACAAACACAAAAGACTGTGAACTATGGAACTGCACTCATGTGAAGTTCATGAACAGGCAGAACTCACCTGTGTTCTCCCTGGCAGGGAAGACAGGGCTGGAGTGCAAGGGGGCTCGGGGGGATGGGGATGGGTTTTGATTTTCTTCATCTGGGAGCTCAGTACAGGTACTTTCAATGGTGCTCTTTTTGCCTGTAGGGCTTACTGCGATGAAAGTTCAAAAGATAGAGTACTCCAAAGTTCTAAAGTTAAGTCCAAAGGGGGATAGAGAAAAGGGACTTGGCTTCCAGAGTTCTCTCTTTTTCTTCTCCTAGGAGGTGGGGTATGGGGAGGTGTTCCTTTCAGAGCTATTGTGAGGCTTCAGTAAGATGCTTCTTGTGTAACTACAGGGGATTTTGTGTGTCTCCTCTGCTGGCACATCAGCCACTAATGAACGGACACAAGTAGTGTTTTTATGATCTCAGCTCACCCTCAGCAGGGACCATAGGGATTGCCATCCCATTTCCCAGGTGGAAAGACTGAGGTTCAGAGACATAACATAGCTCAGCCGGTTGATGGCAGAGAGCAGGGATTAGAATCCAGTTGGCTCTCCCACGTGTCCTGCAGGAGACTCTGCAAAGTGTAAGGGAGGAATGGGTCCCCAGACCCTGGGCACCGGGAGTGGCAAGCCTCCCTGCCACCAGCACCCTGCAGGTCTGAGAAAGGCAGAGCCAGGAGCCCAGGCTCACAAACATAGGAACAGTAATTCCACTCCTTCGTATACACCCAAGAAAGCTGAAAACATGCCCATGCAACAAACTCGACACGAGCGTTTATGGCAGCATTATTCACAACAGCCAAAGAGGGGAAACAACCCAAGTGTCCATCAGCTGATCCCAGGATAAATAAAGTGCAGTCCACCCGTACAATGGACTATCACTTGGCCGTAAAAAGGAACAAAGGACTGATACAGGCTACACCACAGAGGAAACTTGAAGACACTATACCTCGTGCAAGAAGCCGGTCAAAAAAGACCACATGTTGCATGTGAAATGTGCAGAATAGACCATATACGGAGACAGAAAATAGATCGGTGATGGCCTGGGGCTGAGGGGATGGAGGCATCCTGGGGGAGCGGAAGTGGGTTGACACCTGAAGGGTACGGGGTTTCTTTCTGGAGTGGAGAAATGTTCTCAAATTAACTGTGGTGATGGGTGAACAACTCTGTACTCAAAGCCATTGAATTCTCTGCTTTAAAAAAGTGAATTGCAAGATATGTGAATTATATCTTAATAAAGCTATTTAAAAAAAAATAATTAGTCATGAGCAAGGGGGGTGGGGAAGAAGGCTGAGACCCAGAATCACAGACTTGATTCTGATTTGAGAGATCTGCCTGGATATGCTGGGTGATGTTAGGTAAATGCCTTCCCTCTCTGGGCTTTAGTTGTCCCTGCTGTCACCTGGGAGAGGGGAGAGTTGGAGCAGAGGAGTTGTGAAGTGTCATTGATTTGGACATGTTATCACACTGTTTACAACAGCTGTCCAAGATCATGTCTGCTTGTTGTCCGCCCTCTGAGGTGGCAGTGGTGGGGCGGGGTTTGAAGGGTCTTCCAGGGACTTCTACCCCTAACCGTTCACTGTTATCTTTGCAGATCATCTGGCCTCACCAGAGGCAGGCCACGTATCAGCAATATCCTTTAAAGATGGCAGAGGAGAGATTTCTCCAAACATGGCTGCTCGCCACTGCTCTGGGTCAAGACGGACACCAGAGGCTTGGAGGGAAAATCCCAGCTACTCTCCATGCCATTAGTCAGTTCTGAT